CCTGTCACCATGTCTGGCTAATTTTTGTATTTTTAATAGAGATGAGGTTTCACTGTGTTGGCTAGGCCGATCTTGAACCCCTGACCTCATGATCCACCCTCCTTAGCCTTCCAAAGTGCTGGGATTACAGGCATGAGCCACTGTGCCCGGCCTTAACTTATGATATTCTTATATATTACCTGACATCCCAGGAAATGTTTCATAATAGAAGTGTGATTGAATTGTTCCCTTCTTTTCTTTTTTTTTTTTCCTGAGATAGGGTCTCTATTGCTCAGGCTGGAGTACAGAAGCGTAATCACAGCTCACAGCAGCCTCAACCTCCCAGGCTCAAACAATCCTCCCATCTCGGCCTCCCAAGTGGCTGGGACCACAGGTGTGCATCATCATACTTGGTTATGTTTTTTATTTTTATTTTTTGGTAGAGAGAAGTTCTCCCTATGTTGCCCAGATTGGTCTCAAACTTTTGGACTCAAGTGATCCTCCTCAGCCTCCCAAAGTGCTGGGATTACAGGCGTGAGCCACTGTGCCTGGCCAGTTTTTTTTTTTTTTTTTTTTTTTTTTTGAGACGGAGTTTCGCTCTTGTTACCCAGGCTGGAGTGCAATTGGCGCGATCTCGGCTCACCGCAACCTCCGCCTCCTGGGTTCAGGCAATTCTCCTGCCTCAGCCTCCTGAGTAGCTGGGATTACAGGCACGCACCACCATGCCCAGCTAGTTTTTGTATTTTTAGTAGAGATGGGGTTTCACTACATTGACCAGGACGGTCTCGATCTCTCGACCTCGTGATCCACCCGCCTCGGCCTCCCAAAGTGCTGGGATTACAGGCTTGAGCCACCGCGCCCGGCCTGCCTGGCCAGTTTTTAATTATTTCAACAAATGTTTATTTAATGTATATATTAATATATAGATCAGGCTCTATTGTAGGTGCTGTATGTTAATGGAAGGAGATGGAATGGAAACAAATGAATAAATAGACCCTATATAGAAAGTTAGAGGTGTTGTTTAAACAATAATTACACTGTACTTAGAAAATAATCAATAGTTAAAATAAAATTAATGCTTCAGAAGGGAAAATTCTTTGAACTAAGCATTTTAAAATGGTAGTAGCTTTGCTATTCAGAGAAACATCAAACCAGGCTGAAGGACTCCACAATATACGGGGAATTTCAGTACAAAGTAACACAGCCCAATTTTGTGACTCAATGCTACTCATTGTCATCTCTTTTAAAAACTCTGTGGCATTTGTACATACAATATTGTACTTAGCAGTTCATTAATTAGGGCCAGGCATGTTGGCTCATGCCTGTAAACCCAGCACTTTGGGAGGCCAAGCGGGGGCGAATCACTTGACACCAGCTTGGCAAACATGGCAAAACCCTGTCTCTACTAAAAATACAAAAATTAGCTGGGCACAGTGGCACACGCCTGTAATCCCAGCTACTCGGGAGGTCGAGCCACAAGACCAGGAGGTGGAGGTTGCAGTGAGCCGAGATTGAGCCACTGCACTCCAGCCTGGGCAACAGAGTAAGACCCTGTCTCTTAAAAAAAAACCCCGCAAAACCAAAAACCTTATTGATTACAAAGAGTTTATGATAGATGCTAGCATCTGTAAATAAAGGTCAATTACTACTGGAAACAAACACAGCATTTCCTTATCTGGGAGAGACTTGCGGCATTTCAGTTCCCCCAATTTCAGGGAATAAACCAGAATGGTGTTCTGTGCAGAAAATGATTTTGAATGAATTAATTAGATACTTAATTGGGAAAATTAGCATATGGCATGTTGGAAATAAAAGATGTATAAGTTCCCCTGCCTTTTAAAAAATCTGAGTTAACCATTGGATTCCACGTTTCAATTACTGGGAGAAAGGCATGAAGAAACTCACAATAGGAATGACAGTACAAATTCTCCCAGAAACGGCAAGTGGGTTAATGAACGCTCAAGGAATACCTTGGTAGTCTTTCAAGAGTATCTAATATTGGCCTTCATTAACCTCCTGAGTCCATCAGTCTACACATGTGGTCACGGAAGGCTCACCAGGGACACTGCTGGTCATGCTCCTGCCATGCTCTAGAGAGCAGTGAGGATTGAAGGAATCGGGAAGAAAGGGCCACTTTAAATAGCTGCACTTCAGGTAAATTTGATCATCAATAACCAAAACTCATCAATAACCAAAAAAAGGCCATAAAAAAATACTCTTCTTATTTAAAAAAATATTGAGAAGCATCTTTACAAATATATTTTTCTAAATCTACATTTCTCCACTGTGAGTTCACTTATCCCAGTCAAATCAAGAACTGGGAGCCCCTGGAATGGCCTGCCCTCAGCACACACATGGGGATTCAGTGCTCATAGAAGGAATGAGGCAGAAACACATGCAGATACTCCAGTAGCCCTTTTTTGTTGGACTGAAACTGTCCCCCACCTGCCTTCCCCCTACCACTCCAAATCTGAGGGAAGTGGCAATGATCAGAAATCAAATTTCAGCCGGGTACTATAGCTCATGTTTGTAATCCAGGAGCTTTGTGAGTCTGAGGCAGGCGGATCACTTGAGCTCAGGAGTTCAAGACCAGCTTGGTCAACATGGTACAACCCTGTCTTTACTGAAAATACAAAAATCAGGTGGCTGTCATGGTTTGTGCCTGCAATCCCAGCTACTCAGGAGGCTGAGGAAGGAGAACTGCTTGAACTGAGAAGTGGAGGTTGCAGTGAGCTGAGATGGTACCACTGCACTCCAGCCTGGGCAACAGAACAACACTCTATCTAAAAAAAAATTTTTTTTTTTAATCAAATTTAATTGTGTCACTACATGGATTTTTCTCCTCTGATTTTTTTTCTCCCCCCCTTAACCCTTATTATCTATCAAAACATTATATCTAGCGGTCGGGTATGGCAGTTCATGCCTGTAATCCCAGCACTTTGGGAATCTGAGGTGGGCAGATCATGAGGTCAGGTGATCGAGACTATCCTGGCCAACATGGTGGAATCCCGCCTCTACTAAAATACAAAAAAATTAGCCAGTGTGGTGGTGTGCACCTGTAGTCCCAGCCACTTGGGAGGCTGAGGCAGGAGAATCACTTGAACCTAGGCAGTGGAGGCTGCAGTGAGCTGAGATCATGCCACTGCATTCTAGCTTGGAGACAGAGCAAGACTCCATCTCAAAACAAACAAACAAACAAACAAACATCTATCTATGTATCAATCAATCATCTGTCTATCTATCTATCTATCTATCTATCTATCTATCTATCTATCATGTCCAAATAATTTGGAAATAGATACCTATTCAGGAAGGAAGTAAAGTAAAAGTATACATCTGGCCTGGCTTCTAAGTTTACAGAGGACAAGAATCATGCCCTGTGGATTCTTGTGTCTGTCCAGCCGAGCACAGCGCCTGGCACATAGGCTGTTGATCTGAACTGAGAGGTGACAACAGCATTTAGACAAGAATAGAGATGTCGCTGAGGAACCACCTTGAAAAGAACTTGAACAAACTTGAACATCCAACTCACCTTTGCTTAACTACTTGATTCAACTGTATTCATAAATAAATTCTAAAATTACAGATTCGATAATTATTAATAGCTCTGAAAACCCACAGTACAAACCAATCAGGAAAATTAAGCTATCAAAGCCCCGCTACAGCAAAAAAAAAAAAAAAAAAAAATTTAAACATATAAATGTAATCTTTGTAGTCAGGTTACAGCTGAAAAAGAAAACAGGCATTTTCTTTTTCTTTCTTTGTTTTCTTTTTTGTGAGATGGAGTCCCGCTCTGTCACCCAGGCTAGAGTGCAGTAATGTGATCTCGGTTCACTTCAAGCTATGTCTCCCGGGTTCCAGTGATTCTCCTGCCTCAGCCTCCTGAGTAACTGGAATTGCAGGTGCCCACCAACATGCCCGGCTAATTTTTGCATTTTTAGTAAAAACGGGGTTTCAGCACGTTGGCCAGGCTGGTCTTGAACCCCTGACCTCATGTGATCTACTCACCTCAGACTCCCAAAGTGCTGGGATTATAGGCGTGAGCCACTACGCCCAGCCCCCTTTTCTTGTAATTTTGCTCTTCTTGATTTATACTTCATAATCCATTCCCCTCTATGATTTGAAAGCAATTTACAGAAAAAATTTTAAGAGAGTGAGAGACAAGTGATTGTAGGGAGACCTTAAGCTCAAAGACAAGCTTACAGACCCAGGCTTTTTTTTTTTTTTTTTGAGATGTAGTCTTGTTCTTTTGCCAGACTGGAGTACAGTGGCACGATCTCGGCTCACTGCAACCTCCATCTCCTGGATTTAAGCAATTCCCCTGCCTCAGCCTCCTGAGTAGCTGGGGCTATAGGCGCATGCCACCATGCCTGGCTAATGTTTTTTTGTATTTTTAGTAGAGACAGGTTTTCACCATGGCCAGGATGGTCTCAATCTCCTGGCCTCATGATCTGCCCACCTTGGCCTCCCAAAGCACCGGGATTACAGGCATGAGGCACTGCACCTGGCCACTTTTTTTTGTTTTGTTTTGAGATAGAGCCTCACTCTGTCACCCAGGCTGGAATGCAGTGGCTCAATCTGGGCTCACTGCTACTTACACCTCCTGGGTTCAAGCAATTCTCCTGCCCCAGCCTCCCAAGAAGCTGGGATTACAGGCCTATGCCATCAAACCCGGCTAAGACCCCGGCTTTTAATGAGAAGTAGTCAGGTTAAATTTGTTATGATACATTTGACTTATGAAATAAATGAGCGCAAAGCTAAAATAAAAACTAAAATTCTTTTTCTTATTTAATAAAGATTTACTGTACACCATACTACTTACAGGTGTATTTTTTCTTTCTATATTTTAGTTAAAATAGGAGGGTTGGGACATTTCAGCACATAAATATTATAGAGAGAAGATTAAAGACTAACAACAAATTTAGACAAGTTCCTTCTTGAGAAATAAAGAGATTTAACCCTAGAGGTCAGAAGATGTAGATCCGTCTTCAGTATAACTCAAAAAATTTCTTAAGCCTTACCTGGTTCTGCTTCAATGTGGACACTAGTTTCTGCAATGTGATATTTTCTTCTTCCAATTCAGTATAGTCCTGAAGGAGTCGGGCCTCCCGGAACTTATATTCTCGGATTTCATCCTTCATCCGTATTCTCTGGAGCTCCACCATCTCATTGTTCTGAAACAACAGAGGAAACAATCGTTACATAACTTTCTCATTGTAGATTTTACAAAGTGTAAAGTCTTGGTAGTTAAAAATAATAATAGAAACACCTCATGGGGTGTAAATTGGTACTGCCTTTTTTTGAATGGCAATTTCGTGTTATCTGTCAACAACCTAAAAGCACATACATATGACCCAGCAATTCAACATCGAAAAATCATTCTTGAATATGTTTTCATAGAAGTAAATAAAAGAGAAATAAATCCATGTATACTTACATAAAGAAATGGAAATAGTCTAAATATTCACTATTTAGAGAACACATTATCATGCATCCATTGAATGGCACATTATAAAATTATTTCAAAAAATGAGAAAGACTGGGCACAGTGGCTCACACCTGTAACCCCAGGACTTTGAGAGGGCAAGGTGAGTGGATCACCTGAGATCAGGAGTTGGAGATCAACCTGGTCAACATGGTGAAACCCCGTCTCTACTAAAAATACAAAAAAAAAAAAAATTTAATCAGGCGTGGTGGCGGGCACCCGTAATCCTAGTTGCTCAGGATGCTGAGGCAGGAGAATTGCCTGAACCTGGGATGGGGAGGTTGCAGTGAGCCAAGATCACACCACTGCACTCCATCCAGCCTGGGCGACAGAGCAAGATTCCATCTCAAAGGAGAAAAAAAGAATAAGGAGAAACTTTATTGTACTAAAACAGAAATGCAGTCATAATATATTATTAAATGTAAAAAGCAAGTTATAGATTACTATGCATGTTAGGATCCCAGGTATGTTGGAAATACAGGGGACACACACATGCACGCTTGTAATCCCAGCTATACTCGGGAAGCTGAGACAGGAGAATTGCATGAACCCAGAACGTGGAGGTTACAGTGAGCCAAGATCATGCTACTGCACTCCAGCCTGGGCGACAGAGTAAGACTCCGCCTCAAAACTCAAAACAAAAAACAACAACAACAAAAACTTTGTAAGAATATCCAGAAGAGACTATTACTTTGATTTTATATCCTCCTGGATCATTTCAAAAAAAAGTTTTTTTTAACAACAAGCTTGTATTATCAGGTCTTATGTGCAAGGTTACAGGATAGAAATAAATCAATTAAGTAAAATATTTAACTTTTTCCACAAACTTATGTGACAACTATAAGCTATGTTTTAGCTCAAAATGTATAGTGACCACATAATAGATATAAACATTTATATATGTAACATATTCACAGTCATGGAAAGAAGGGATATAGAAGTTTTCTTGGCCGGGCGCAGTGGCTCAAGCCTGTAATCCCAGCACTTTGGGAGGCCGAGGCAGGTGGATCACGAGGTCAACAGATCGAGACCATTCTGGTCAACGTGGTGAAACCCCGTCTCTACTAAAAATACAAAAAATTAGCTGGGCATGGTGGCGTGTGCCTGTAATCCCAGCTACTCAGGAGGCTGAGGCAGGAGAATTGCCTGAACCCAGGAGGCGGAGGTTGCGGTGAGCCGAGATCGCGCCATTGCACTCCAGCCTGGGTAACAAGAGCGAAACTCTGTCTCAAAAAAAAAAAAAAAAAAAAAAAAGTTTTCTTTCAATTAAGGTTTAATTAGATTTGTTTCCTATTCAAACAAAAAGAAATATGGAAAAAAAGTACCACAGAAACCAAAAACCACATTTTCTTATGTAATACCTAGATATCTATGTGGGAAAAAAAATCAGTCATGATGCATTTGGACTTCACATCATAATCTGCAGAGTCTTGATATACTGGTAGGTAGGACTGACAATGAATAGAAACTGCTACTTGCGAGATAGATGAATCGAGTTAATATACTGACTGAAATAAGCCAGATGCAAAAGACTACATACAGTGTGATTCTGCACGTAAAGTTCAAAAACATGCTCTGTAGGTTAACTGTCTCCCAAAAAAGATAAGGTGAAGTCCTAACCCCCAGGGTCTTTATAAACATAAAAATTAAAATGAGGTCATTAGAATAGGCCCAATCCGATAGGACTGGTGTCTTTATATAAAGGGGAAATTCGGCCACACAGAAACTGACACACACCTCTGCGTGTGGGGTGGAGACTATGTAAAGAAATGCAGGGAAAAGATGACCACGTGACCATGGAGGTGAAGGCTGAAGTGATCCGTCTACCAGCCAGGGAACACTGAGGACTGCCAGCAAACACCAGAAGCCAGGAAAGGGCAAGGAAAGGTCCTTCCCTAGAGCCGCCAGAGGAAGATGGCCCTGTCAACACCATGATTTCTGACTTCTGGCCTCCATAACTGTGACAATAAATTTCTGTTGTTTTAAAGCCACCTAGTTTGTAGTACTTTGTTACAGCAGCCCTAAGAAAAGAATACATGTGCAAAGCCAATCCACGGTGACAGAAGTAAATGCACTCTTATCTTTGCAGGAGGGTAGGGTGACATCTGCAGCACTAAAAACATTTTAAAGGTCTCTGTCCCAACAGAGAGCCAGCTCTAGGAGAATACCTGATTTTCCTACGTATGCTTTCAAATATCTCTCATCTTGCTTCACATTCTACAGATTTTTTTTTTTTGAAACGGAGTTTCACTCTTGTTAACCAGGCTGGAGTACAATGGCACGATCTCGGCTCACCGCAACCTTCACCTCCTGGGTTCAGGCAATTCTCCTGCCTCAGCTTCCTGAGTAGCTGGGATTACAGGCATGCGCAACCATGCCCAGCTAATTTTTTGTATATTTTTTTTAGTAGAGACGGGGTTTCACCATGTTGACCAGGATGGTCTCGATCTCTTTTTTTTTTTTTTTGAGATGGAGTTTCGCTCTTGTTACCCAGGCTGGAGTGCAATGGCGCCATCTCGGCTCACTGCAACCTCCGCCCCGTGGGTTCAGGCAATTCTCCTGCCTCAGTCTCCGGAGTAGCTGGGATTACAGGCACGCGCCACCATGCCCAGCTAATTTTTTGCACCCTTAGTAGAGACGGGGTTTCACCATGTTGACCAGGATGGTCTCGATCTCATGACCTCGTGATCCACCCGCCTCAGCCTCCCAAAGTGCTGGGATTACAGGCTTGAGCCACCGCGCCCGGCGGTCTCGATCTCTTGACCTCGTGATCCACCCACCTCGGCCTCCCAAAGTGCAGCGATTACAGGCTTGAGCCACCGCGCCTGGCCCTTTTCTACAGATTTTTTAAAGACTTGGTCTCACTCTATCACCCAGAACACAGTGTGGTGGCATGATCATGGCTCACTGCAGCCTTGACCTCCCAGGCTCAAGCGATTCTCTCACCTCAGTCTCCTAAGTAGCTGGGACTAGACGTGTACATACCATCACACCTGGCTAATTTTTGTATTTTTTGTAGAGATGTGTTTCACCATGTTGCCCAGGCTGGTCTCAAACTCCTGAGAGCCATCCCTCTGCCTTGGTCCCCAAAAGCTGGGATCACAGGTGTGAGCCACTGTGCCCAGACTTCCACCCCCAAAAAAAGAATTGTAGAGGCAGGGTCTTGCTCTGTTGCCAAGGTTGGAGTCTGGTGCCTTAATCACAGCTCACTGTGACCTCCCAGACTGGTTTTTTTTGGGGGGGAGAACAGAGTCTCGCTCAGTTGCCCAGGCGGGAGTGCAGTGGCGTAATCTTGGCTCACCACAACCTCTGCCTTCTGGATTTAAGCGATTTTCCTGCCTCAGCCTCCCGAGTAGCTGGGATTAGAGGCGTGCGCCACCATACTTAGCTAATTTCTGTATTTTCAGTCGAGACAGGGTTTCACTATGTTGACCAGGCTGGGGAACTCCTGACCCTGTGATCTGCCCATCTTGGCCTTCCAAACTGCTGGGATTACAGGCATGAGCCACCGCGCCTGGCCGACCTCCCAGGCTTAAGTGATCCTCCCAACTCAGTCTCCTGAGTGGCTTGGACTATAGGTGCACACCACCACACCTAGGTAATTTTTAAATCTTTTGTAGAGATGGGGTCTTACCATGTTACCCAAGCTGGTCTCGAATGCCTGGGCTTAAGCAATCCTCCTGCCGTGGCCTCCCAAAGTGCTGGGATTATAAATGTGAGCCACCACACCCGGCTCATAGTCTACACATGTTAACAATAACTCCCTTTGCCTCAGTTTTCAGAGGCCTGTTCAGTTCCCTGTTTGAACATGGTGATTTTTTTTCTTCTGACTTGGCCCCTGAGTACAAGGCTGAGGCAGGAGAATTGCCTGAGCCCGGGAGGCGGAGGTTGCGGTGAGCCGAGATCGCGCCATTGCACTCCAGCCTGGGTAACAAGAGCGAAACTCCGCCTCAAAAAAAAAAAAAAAAAAAAAAAAAGGTGGAGGATGAAAATCTTGATCATATATCTAGGGTAATTAGATATCTAGGGTTGGGAGATGATTCAGCAGAATTCCTTGCTAAGGCTGGGCTGGGCAGGCCAAAGCTGGGGGTGGAGCAAGGTTAAAGCCTGGTTCAAAAGAGACCTTAGCAGAGCATGACTGAAGTGTGGTTTAAGGAGAGAGCCTTTGACACCTCACTGCCATGAATTGCATTCTGATAAGATGAAAGCTAAGAAAGTTTGCAAGACATGGGACTTGGTGATAATATGAAAATAGATCCTATTTTCCTATAGCTTTTTTTGGCATCCGATTTTTTTTTTTTTTTTTTTTTTGAGACGGAGTTTCGCTCTCGTTACCCAGGCTGGAGTGCAATGGCGCGATCTCGGCTCACCGCAACCTCCGCCTCCTGGGTTCAGGCAATTCTCCTGCCTCAGCCTCCTAAGTAGCTGGGATTACAGGCACGCGCCACCACGCCTAGCTAGTTTTTTGTATTTTTAGTAGAGACGGGGTTTCACTATGTTGACCAAGATGGTCTCGATCTCTCGACCTCGTGATCCACCCGCCTCGGCCTCCCAAAGTGCTGGGATTACAGGCTTGAGCCACCGAGCCTGGCGGCATCCGATTTTTATCCATTCTGTATCTTACCATCATAAAAGCTCACTGGGTAGCTTGTAAGGAGTTCCCTGGAGATGTGCAGACTTCATCAATTA